CCCAAAACACCAAAACAGCAAGCGCCCGTGCTGAAGGCAATCCAAAGGTAAACCCGTTTTGGGGAGGTGCCGCCTAGCCCGCATTGTCTGGTTGATCGTGAAAGGACCCCCCCCTCCCCCTTGCCTTGAAGGAAAAGGCACTGGGGTTTGGGCCGCCGGGAACCGGCTGTTTCCACAGGTCGTTTGACTTCACCACCGTGCCGCCCAGTTTTTGGGAAGGCAACCTGAGCCATGCTCTTAGGTAGTCGTGCATATATGGAGGGCTTGGTTCCCCCGTTCTTCTGCCTTCAACTCATCAGCATGCCCAAATCCGGTTTTCCCGTCCTGCACCCCGAGCTGCTCCAGGTCTCCCCAAACCCGCAGCAACTCAACGGCCGCCTTTGCGCTTCCCAGCCTGCGGAACGCCCTGAAAGGCCCTGCTACTGTTTTCATGCATGCAGCATTGCCCCACAATTTTCGGCGCGCTCTAAGCATGCCTGATGTGTAGTCGGGCACATCTTATCGAAAGTTGGCCCGTAGCTGCATCACCCCTAGGCTGGGTTGTTAAAAATCGAGGGGTGCTTCTAATCTGCAATCCTAAGTGTGACAAGCACCCCAAACAGGAAGCTGCAAAAGGAGTGTAGATGTTGTTTTCACTTACCCATCCCAATGCTGTCACCGGGGAAAGGATGAGGGTGAGTTTATAGGGTAGGTTTGGGTGCGTTGGGTTTGCGGTGAGTTTAGCGTGCGTTCAGGGTTGGTTTAGGTTGGGCTTAGGGTTTAGGTGTTCAGGTTTGGGTTGGTGTTTAGGGTTGGGGGGGGGGGGCTTAAGGTGGGTTTAGGGTGCGTTGGGGTTTGTTTAGTGTTGGGGTTGGTAGGGTTGGTTAAGTTGAGGAGTGCGGTTTGGGGCGTTTAGTGTGGGTTTAGGGTTAAGCAGTTAAGCAGGTGTTGGTCTTTGTTTCCATGTAGCAAGGGGCTATGTAATATGGGCATAACTTGCATATCATGTTGATACATCACTTGCAAAGAGTTCCAGTCTTTCATACTTTCTTGCGCGGAACTCCGTGCACCTTAGTGACCCTAAGGCCCCTCCAAGAGAATGTCAATTTCAGGAACCAGTTTGAACCATGGCACATCTGAGAGTTGAAGGGCCCTGTCTTGGTCGAATGGATTCCAGTCTTCATAAATTCTATGCGTTTGGCCCAGGTTGATCCGCTCTAAACGCCACACGGGATTCATGTTGCCCATATCTAGAACAGCATTCGTGTGTGCCATTTTTTTCTTTAACGTGGCCCATCAAATGGCCCTACGCCATGCTCCTACTGATCCACTGGAGAGCAAGCCTCATTTGCAGGGATTCCAGTTACGAGATTTGTCGGCAATGCGTTGAGCGAAAATCCACCGCCAAATTGCTTGTGGTGTCCTTGACGAAACAAACAGGGGGTACCTGAGTCACAATCAGTACCTGAGTCACAACCAAAACCTGCTTTTAACGGTATTAATAGGGTCTGTAAGGAACTAGAAAGACGGATACTCGCACCACACTCTGGTTGGGACTGTCCCTTCACTTTTTCCGGGGTTTGAGCAAGTGATTGACTCACCTGCCAACTCTTCCCACCTCTTCACCGGCAAGCCACTCGCCTCCCAAGCCTGTCACGACATCCCCAAAAAACTGATCGAGTTGAAGATAGAGGTCTGGGGAATACCCTTGGCTACGGGAATTGCAATGGTTTTCAACGGTAAGGACAGGGAAGATATGGTTCCAATGCTTGGTTTCCTTTGACCTAAGCAGGTAAGGGGAATTCTTTCAATGGGTTTTCATCAAGTCCCTTTACTGGAGTCGCCGAGTTCCTGCGGGAGAGGCACTCTCCCTTTTCAAGGTGTGGGGGCCAGCCGTCTGATTCAGTGTTACTGTTACAGGCCGTCAGTTTGAAAAGAGGTAACTAAACACAGATCACTTTTTGCCTGCATTTACAGTGTTTGTAAACCCCATCCACTGAACACGCGGCCTAGTCACAATGCGCGAGCCACGCGCGCTAGGCTGGATTAGTTTCCACAACTTTTCTTGCTTGACTTTGGTGGTCGATTCCATGCCCCTCCTCAAACCATGCCTTTTGTTGGGGAAACACGCACAGTGGCATTTCCTGCCTTTGGACGCCATGGCAATCGTTGCATTTGTCGTGACAAAATGAAGGCTTTGGCTGGACGTCTATGATTCTCTCTGTTCACCCTTCGTGCCAAAGGAGTCAAAGGCAAACCGCCTTTCCGTTTCTCAACTCGTGACAATCAACATTTTAGGGAAGCCTTGTATTGGTTGAGCATTCTAGTGGGGAATCACCAAGCAAACATAGATTTAGACTCAATTCAGAGGTTGCTACTGAACACACTTGGCCAAAGGACTCGTTGATGACGCACAGTGCGATGCGCAACGCGTCTTTTGGACAGCGCATCTTGCTCTTTGCGTCGAAGCTCCTTGGCCGCAAGTCTCAGTCTCGTGACTTGTTGTGACTTGGGGTTTGACTCAACCAGCTCATGCGCCCGAGCCATTTGGGTTTTGCCATGCCGTGTTCTTCCTGAGCAGGCAAATCACATTCAAGGGGTGTGTCTGTGAAATTTCAGGCAGCACCAAAGGATGGGTCTACATGGCGAAAGGGCACGCTTTTGGGTTCGGAGGGCCCTGCGGCCATCAATCGCCGCTCAACTGAATCAGCGGAACAAACAAAAACAACATTTTTTTTGGAAGCCAAGAGTCATCTTGTGGAGTCCTCTGGTGGCAGAACCTGACAGGGGGCAAAAGGCGAAACGCATTGACTGTGCCATCGTTCTTTCCCCAGATAGCTGAAAGCTAAAGGGGTTCAGTTTGGGGTGTTTGGGGTGCTGGCGCAGGTGAGTTTTTGGCTATCTGGGGTCTATTCCTGTGTATTTTTCTTTTATTGTGTGTGTCTATAAGCGTGTCTGTGTGTGTGTGTGTGTGTGTGTGTGTGCGGGATGATCATGGCTGTCCGAAGTGGATCTTAAAGGGTTAATGACCAAGTTTAAGCGCCAAGCAAGCACGTGAATGACGGGTGGGCTTATGCGACAGTTGCTTCCACAAAGCGACGGCACATGGCCACATGCAGCGCCAAGGTATCTGTCGAGCCACCGATCCAAGCAATTGCCGGTTTGGCTGGGATATGCAAACGAGGGCAAAAACAACGGCAGGACAACGCGCACAGCGGACAACAGGCATCTGGTTTTGCACCGCTCCCCAAACCCCTTTGATATGCCCGCCACCAATTTCCAGCGAGCGGTTTGGGGCTTTGGGGGGCTGGTGGAACCCCAGCCTGCCCAGTAAGCTGTGTGGGTGCATGCCCGGGGGGGGGGAGGGGTGAGGGGGGGTTGGTTGCTTGGACATCCACAACTTGCGATCCAGTGCCAGTCCATTTCATTCTCTGGGGTGACCTCTAGGATTGACCGTATACATATATATATATATACATATATATATATTGCCAATTTTACATATTTTGTTGTGTATCTACATGTCATGAGCCATACATTTTTGTAAATATCTACATGTGAGAATCGAACAAGCACCTCAAACCGCGTACATGGTCGTATTCGCGCGCACAAGTATACCCATGCACACATAAGACGTCGAGGCGTCAAAGCCACGGGCCCTCAGCCGCCTTGTGGCCAACCAGCTGGAAGGGCCCAGCACCTGCGAGACGAAAGGTGGAGACCTGTCTGCCACACCTCTGACTTCTTCCTTTTAAATAAGAGGATCCCTGATTTCGGTTGCTTTTTCTTCTAATCATTTTTATGTTTTTCTTCTCATACGAGGATCCCCAATTTTCAGTTGGTTGTAAGTCATCTTGTGGGGATGGTGCGTCAGGAGGATCCCAGCCTCTTAGGAGTGGGGGAGCAACGTGGTTTAACATCCAACCACACGAAACAAGATTCGGAGAACAGGCAATGCCAAACATCAGGTAGCATCCTGCACAATATATAAGAGGACTCCAATAGTTGTTCGTCAGTTTCTGCCATCAGTGTGCATGCATAAATGGTTTCACTCCTAGAACTCACCATGCCTCGAGCAAATCGTGTAGTATTCACTTGAGCCCAATGTCTTGGCCATTGCCCTATGCTTGTGCAAACACACAGCCTTTCTCGTGCGACTTTAGCTCCTTGATCGCACAGACACGTCCAAGCTGCTTAATGCCTGTCCCAAAACTTGGAAGCCTACGAAACAGAAACGGCGCACGCGCACTGAAATAAGCACCATTCAACTCAAAAGGTCAATCAATTGGACCGTAATTCAGTCTATGACATGCCCTTTGTTCATGGTTTCCACTGACGGATGCTGTTTCCTGTGATTCCCAAACAATTGTCAATTTAATGTGATTCAGGATCGCTGGAACCTTGATAAGTTTGCATCGAATACTTGCGAACCTCTTAGACAAACTCACTTCCAGACAACCCCTCGAACCGGAACCTGTGATTGGTCCACCGCTGTTCCCAGAAAGAGGAAGCAAGGCAGGTCTTGAGGGGAGCTCAACTTCTGCCTTTCGGCTGTGAATCAAAGGCTGAATATATACGTCCATATATGAACCCATAGTTTATGGGAAATCAGCCCCACAAGGTCCAGAATAGCGATGGCTTTATATACGGACCTGTACAATCAGCCTTTGAGTGAATTGGATGGTTGGCAGGGATGAGATCCGATATGTCCATCCAATACGGGATCCAAACCAACACTCTGCAAGTGTTGTCCGCAAGCGGTCAAACTTACAAGGGTTTCTTCTGGGTTTGGTTGACATTTAGAGCTCGTCTCCTCTCATCCCTGGACCATAGATTGGATTCTTGTTCAACAAACCTCCAACATTCTGGGCAATATGCTTTCACCAGCTAGGATTCTGAGTTCGACTTTTTCACCAAGCCGAAACGGGATTCTTGGAACCTTAGGTGACTTCGCACCCTCGCGCGGATTGGCTTCAGTCCGTTCTATTTTCGCCGGAGCCCGCCTTTCAATTTGCAGCCCTTCAGGAGCAAAGGTCCTGGGAATGGGTCTAGGCAACCCCCCCGGGCCAACCGAGAAGCCTTTGCTCCTTGGTTTCCATTTATGGCAGATTTTCCATTGCATTTAAGCCGGCTCAACAGAAGTGTCCCCCCCCAAAAAAAACAAAAAAGAAAACCAGAAAAAAGAAAAAGATACGCCACGGGCGACGTCTGGTTTCAGTGCATTGAGCGGCACACTTGACACAGCAAAGCCGGTGTCAAGCTTGGGGACTGCGGACTCTCAATCGACCACGCTGTTTACCATAAAGTCATGAGTGTACCAAGCAACCATGGAGTCACCCTGACCTCCATGGAATTCCATTTTTGCTTCTCTTGCTGTTCCCATGCTTTAGACCCAGACCATGTCCTCTGAGTTGCTTTCAAACTGACTCCCTATGCCTCGCCTTTCGACTGACTCCACAGAATGACTGCTGACTGCTCCACTCGGGCGCCTTCCGCTTGGCTCTGCAGGCATGCATTGCCAAAGCGGATCTGCCCGTTGGCGTGCCTCAAGCACCGAATTTTCCGCGAAACGCTTGGCCTTTGGCGTCTTCGGCCACGAGGAGCTGAAGACAAATTTTTAGACGGATCTTCCCGCTGAACACAGGGGTCACCCAGGTAACTAGCATGTAAGCTCAGCTGAAAGCCGTTGGCCCCAGTAATTACTATGCCTTTCTAGAAACACTGAGGAACTTTTCGATCTAGTGTGAGACACACAGCAGCTTGCATGTGGGAGTGTGTTTTTTTCTGGGTGCCCTTTGCAGGTTGGCCTTTTCTCGGTTGCTTTCTGCGCCCCTGCTAAAAGTTTAACTTTTAGTGGTTTAGTACGGAAAACCCAGTAGTTGGCAAAAAGCTAAAGTCCTAGCATCCCTTGGCAAAATGCACCTCTGTTTTGGTGGAACCCTATTTCGGAAAGCCGCATCGCAGGTCTCCGGTGAGCCAAGAAGCTTCCAGGCCGAAGTCGCCCTCCTGTCAGGCTCGGGTTCAGGTTCTTTGCACTCGAAATCAGCTGGCAGAAAAATGTCGCATTGGACTGGACCAAAACTTTGGTTTTGTTTTCAGGGACCCCGAGCTTTGCAAAAGGAAGCGCAACACACGCCTCTCCCTCGACGTGGAACGTGTGGCACGGCTGCGGAGCGAGGAATGGCATGCCCCTACATCAATCAGCGAGGAATCCATCCGACTTGAGAATGAAGGATCCATTTCAATCAGTAGGGCGCATGAAGCCGCTCCAAATTCTTTTAACATTCAAACCTGATCAACTTGTGAGAGTCATTGGAAAGCATATTTGAGCTGCCGAACATCGACAGGTCAACTGAACATCCTGGCGTCTTGGATGCTGGTGGAAACGGGGAACCTTCGGATCGACCCAAGGTGGGAAACACAAACCCGGCGTTGCCGGGTTTGCGAAACAAACCGGTGCTGACCAACTGCCATCCGCCCATCTTTGCCTCGTGCAGGCGCCAAGCTTGGCAGCATTGCCCACCTGCCCACTCCAGGCCAGTGTTTGCCGCAACCCGAGCAAGCTCTCCTTCTTTTGTTTGTGCCTCAACATGGCCCTCCAACATAAGTGGCGTCCCTTTGAATACTCCCTTCAGCTCTCCAAAGGTGCCATCCATAAATGTCACACCCGTTTTAGTGAAGAGCACAAGAGAGGAAATCAACACTGGAGAGCCGGGGATTGTAACCGACGCATGCTCGGCCCCTTTTTTGTTTTTGCCCTAAACGAAGATCCAACCCGGCCGTTCTTCGGCATGAATCCTAGCCTTGGGGTTTTTCAATTGGACGCCTGGAGACCTCAAACAGAGGGCCAAAAGATGCTCCAGGCATACACCACGCTATCCCTGATGCCCAGCGCTGAACTACGAGGTCACAGTGGGTGCTGCGTTTGTGCAAGCAACGCAAGCAAGACATTGCTCAAAAATGTGACCGCTCATCAAATAAAACCAGCCCTTGTATAAGCAAGACTGTCCGCTTTCCCTTGATTTCCAGCCAAAGAAGGTTTGGCAAGAAAACAATACCGTTTTTGGCAGCCACCAAAACCCCCATCGATAAAGACTGTCCGCTTGCCCCCCCCCAAAAAACAAACAAACAAACAAACAAACAAACAGACAGACAGACAGACAGACAGACAGACAGACAGACAGACAGACAGACAGACAGACAGGCAAAACAAACAGACAAACAAACAAACAAACAACCAAACAAACAAACAACCACACAAACAAACAAACAAACAAACAAACAAACAAACAAACAAACAAACAAACAAACAAAACAAACAAACAAACAAGCAAACAAATAAACAAACAAACAAACAAACAAACAAACAACCAAACAAACAAACAAACAAACAAACAAAACAAACACACAAACAAACAAACAAACAAACAAACAAACAAACAAACAAACAAACAAACAAAAAAACACACACACACACACACACACAAACAAAAAAACAAACAAACAAAACAAAAAACAATCAAACAAACAAACAAACAAACAAACAAACAAACACACAAACAAACAAACAAACAAACAAACAAACACAAACAAACAAACAAACAAACAAACAAACAAACAAACAAACAAACAAGCAAGCAAGCAATCAAACAAACAAACAAACAAACAAACAAACAAACAAACAAACACACAAACAGACAGACAGACAGCCAAACAGACAAACAAACAAACAGACAAACAAACAAACACACAAAACATCACACACATCACAAACATGAAACATGTTAAAACTACGAACGCCATTTCCAATGCTTCCACCAATGCTACTTGCCTTCGTAGTCTTAGGGGGTGCTTTCCAAAACCGCAAAAACGGCTAGCCGGAAACATCAAACTTCTTACCAAACAATCAAGGCTTGACAGGATAAAGCCTAACCCCCTCTTCAAGACCGGTCCCCCTAATACAAGCGCCCGGCATTGATAATTTGACACTCTCCAGGCCTGCGATTTACATGTTGCCTCTTTACCATTGCAGTACGAACACTGGACCGGAGAAGATGGGATCCAAGTTTTTGTCTGGACCTTGTCGACCTGCGGGAGGAATTCCCTCCATGGGATTTACATGTTGTGGGGGGACTCAGGGGTAAACATTAGAATGTTCCTTGTTCCTGATTCCATGAGCGTGTTCAGCAGAACCAGCGACACGACTCCAAACCCCGCCTGGCTCCTGCCGGGTTCTGCTTGCAAGCAAAGGTGCGAGTCCACGCTCCTGAGTCGGCCGATGGGAATTGACTTGGGCCATGAACAAATGGGACATCTCACTTCCTGAGTGGATGGCCCAAAAACATGTTCCGATTTACCACTAAAAATGATCATCCCCAAAAACATGAAGTCCAGGAGTTCAGGAAGTGAGATATACAAACATCTGAGGGCCAAAAGGCTGCATGGTTAGGAGCAGTATATAGTGAAAGTAACCGTTTTTTTGTATGAGCACTTCGCCAAAATATTTTGTGTGCATCAAAAGCTCCTCTAGGTAAGGGCGCATCATGAAGCACCATGTGATGCGCACGTATACTTGCGGAATGATTAGATAGCCCCCTGCCATTGAAGCCGGGCCGCTGGATGCCATTTCCGCCCTCCCGGCGGAAACGCTGCCGAGGCACCTCCTCGCATGGCGCCTCCGGACATGTGCCATGCGTGGGCACATCAACATGTCACAACTCGACCCTCCGTGAAAAAACAAACTGGGATCGAAGGAAGGCAAGAAATGCGCGTTCACTGGAGGGTGTCCAATTTAGGAGACATTTCAGATTTTTTTTTAGCTTTCAGCAAGCCGCGCCTGCAATGCCTAAGACGCTTTCCTAGCAGCTGGCCTGCTGAGCAGGCCTGCTGAGCTGGCCTGCTAAATAGCTGGTTGCATCTCGCCTTAAGTCAACTTAAGTCTGTGTCCCGCTTTTCCTGCCCCATCGGCTTGGGGCTGTTAGTTCTTAAGAAACGTCCGACTTGCTTACCCGCCCGTCCAGAGCCGACTTCCACCAAGAACCGGAACAGAGCCTTTGACAGACAGCTGTGACAACAAGAAGCCGTGAGCGAGCCAGCGAGCCAGCGAGCCAGCGGCCGAAAACGGTGGGCTCCCGCCAGCGGAAAACCTGTCGGCGGACGGTTTGGCACCTGCGTGGTCGAAGTCCAGCTTCGTCAAGCACTTCTTGGGTGGGGCTTGCTCGAAGTTGCCGTGTTTTGGGGTTTGAAAGGGAAACCAAAGGCGCAGCCATCCATTCATAGGCGTCCTTTTAACGCAAATACACGGCCCTGGTAGATGAAACCATCAGGTAAACCAGGAATCGCCATCTATTGATCCCCCAAAACAACCAGAAAGGACCCCTATGCATCCATTTTCTGCGTTCCCCTATTTGAAACGACACCTCAAGCGGCTCCGTCGCGCCTCTTCCAAATAATTCCCGTCCACGGTCTGCAAACAAAGTCCTCCCAGCGACGCTCCAGACTGACTCAGCCTTACCTAGGTGTTTTCGAGGTACCCTCGTCCACTAGCACGGACTGCACCAAAAGGAAACTGGTCTTCAAGGGCCACACTGGTCAGGTTTCGTATTGGAGGGTATCTCAAAAAGGGTGTGTAAACCAAAAACTTACCAACGAGAGCTATCGCTTCAAGCCTGTGTTTATTTGTACATTGGAAACTCGTGATGTGTCTCGTTTGCGTTTTGGACTATTGGCTCAATTCATCTGCTTTGCTACCCTCACCAGTGGTTCAAACATGTGTTCCTGTCTTGATCTCTATTGTCTGCTCTCTGCGGGAAGTTCCCTGCGAAGGCCCACATGCCCGTTCCAGTTCTGTCCCTTTGCACGTGCTTGAGGGTGACGCGTGCCATGAAAAAGACGTAACACAGGACACCTTTGTTGCATGCCATGTGTGGTACAGCCCCAACTAACTGGGTCACCTCTCTCTCTCTCTCTCTGTGGTTGAGCTATGTCCCAGGTAGATCTGCCCGGGAACCCCTTGCCTGTGAGAGCGTCATGGATCTGAAAGCTTTCCGGTGGAAGCATGCCCTTCTGGTGGAACACCTGCAAAGAGTGTGGAACCCCCCCTCCCCCCTAATCTTGGTTGACCTTGGAAGTGGAGCAAAAATTAAAAAAAATAGCAGTTAAGTGGAGAATTCCCACTAAACCACACCAAGCAAAAATGTAAAATGCTTCCCAACAACAACCATGTAATTCCCGCCCACTGTCACCACACCTCTATATCAGGCCAGCTTTCATGAACCACTTTCCAGCAGTTCTCTTCAATGCAGGTTCCTGTGCGCGGTAAGATTTAAAGAATGGAGGGTGGCTCTGATGCTTCGACTACATCTTCACGGGCATTGCTAGCGCCGCGGATCGCGCCAGTTCCACATCACCGATATGCGGGGCTCATCCAAATGCACAAATGCAATTCTGAGTCCCTGAGTAGCCCCTGACAGGTCCTTGCAAGAGAGATGGCCCAGCTTTTCCGTTTTCCGCCCCTGACATCACTTTCAATGCCCATGTGCTACGCTTGACACCGGCTCTGCCCACCTGGATTCTATGATTTCCATCTATTTTCGTGGGGAAGCACCAGCTTCACACCTGCGCTTCAGGTCTAACATCGCTGTTCACGCCTGGTGGAACTTGTGCACGAACCAATGGAAAGGTTTGCCTAAGGCAAACGTCCATCGACCATACAAGCGGTCCCAAACCTAGTCAAACCGGAAACCTAGGCGCCCAAAGCCGCAATCACAAGAGCAGCCCACTTTCATTTCTGAGAACACAGGTTGCACACGTCTGCCAAGTGTTTGACATTGACCTGCTACCGGCGGCATCCACGGCACTTGCTTCGCAGAAACACTGGTTGCATAGTCAGGGGATGGGATGACAAAAAGCACAATGCCGAGCCGCATTGAAGCCTGTCTTTCAACGCCAGGCGCTCCTCAATACTGCCTTGGGCTGGACCATCGGCGACAGAGCAGGTTCAGCCCAACACTGGGATGTGGCTCAAACATAAGTGCCCAGGCCTATGTGCATCCCACGAAAACAAACCTGGGGGCCTCCATTTCCCTTCTCCCCACAGGAACATGTGTGTGTGTTTCTCAAAATAGGGAGGCCCAAAATGGCTTTGTTTTCTTGGGGGTCGATGGTTTTGAACTTCCTCTTGCTTTGCCTTAACACAAACCAACCAATCAGCTAAGACTAAGATGGCTTTGGTTTTGCTTTGCCTTTAAAACGAACCAACGAATCAGTCGGCTTTGCCATTTTGAGACGCACCCATGCGTCTGTTTCATTCTGATCGCTCTGGCCAGTGGCCCATCGCAGGCAGCAACCTCGGGCCACGGGCGGCTTTGATTTGGCGAGTCCTCCCAAACCAACCCAGAACAAAAAAACCGACACGTGTACGCACTCACACAAACATACACCCATGGCCTTGGACAAACAAAACATGCAGCTGAATATTTTATTGCCGGAGAGATTGCGTCACAATCGTCACAGTAGCTTGATTGTCAGGCTCAACAATTGGCAGCTAGCAGAGTTCGAAGCTGCGTGTATGACTTTTGCATTGCTTCTAAGCCTAATGCAAGATGACTCCCTCTCTGCACGTTTCTTTGCCATGATTCGTTGCCTTCTGACAGTGCGCCCGAACAACAAGAGGTAAGCCCCCATCCTATTCTCCGATCTTTGTCCGCCATCTTAAAACCTCACTTCGGGCCAAACTAAGTCTGAACTTCTGGTTTACCATTACAATGGTCTTCCAAAGAAAGTATCAAGTCCATCAACTCAGGAAGTGAGTCACAGTGACCCATGGGTTCAGAGTGGTTGATTGGATCAGCCAAGGCTCCGCGCAGCATTTGGCTCCGCATGGTAGAAGTAGGCCTGGGACGAATTGTCGGCTATGTGAGCCGCAGCCAACATTCATTCTGTCCATAACTGACTTGGGAATTTGGTGAGTAGCCGGTGAGTGTGCCCCATTTCGTACTCATACCCTTTCCTTCAGTAAATGATGGTAAACATTGGCCTTTGCTCGTGTACTAAAATCAAGGACCTTGTTCTTGCAACATCGACAGGGAAGCCGTATGAACATAGTGTTTACTTCACCGTTAACACGTACCCCAGTCAGTGCAGGAACTAGTGCAATAGCCGCATGACTTCCCAGGTGCCTCTGACAAATATGGGGATGTGACAAACGTCAAAACTAGCTGGACCCCTTCGAATCAACAAACACTATTTCACTTGTCCTGGCATGGAATGAGGATACATGCAGGACACGAACCGGGGAGATTGCCAGCTTCGTGTGAGCAGCCCATCTCATGCTGTGGATGTCGGCGATTCGATTTGCGGAGACCCTTTCACCATTGGTTGGCTTCCACATGGTTGGGGTTCCTCCTTTGCAAGATCGCCTGCCTCCATTTGCTTGAGTCCTCTGGAAAAAACAAACAATAGTTGCAGCGTGATCCATTCCCCTTTACAGCCAACAGGGGAAAACAGAAACCATGTTCTTAACTGGCCTCATTATATTACCATGATCAAGGTCACCCCTAGTGGGCGGGGAAACAACCACATTTTCTGACTTGGATTCCCAGAAACAGTCAACATCATGTACTGACCCCAGCTTAAGGCCTGCTCTTTCCTCCATCTTGTGCTGGGGAACTCGAATGTTGCCCAGGCCCTAGAGCCCGCCCCGCCTTGTAGTCATCGAACCAGGTCTCAACTGCCCGCACCTCAAGGCACTAGGGTTTTTGAAAAGGAAAACCCATTGGCTTCGTCATAAACATCTGAGTGCAAGGCAAATCCTACAGCTGGAAACAAACTAAATCCTACAGCTGGAAACAAACTTCGGGGGTTGAGTCAACTGGAATCAAGAATTCCTTTGATTCAAGCTCAGTATGGTCTGACTCACTCTTGAAGAAGTTGTCGCCTCTTAGGAGCCCTTCCACACAACAAATGTTGGCCCAACCTGTCAAACATCAGTGTCTTGTGAAGGCGGATTGAGCAAAGGCTATCCCATAGGTGCAGCAGACTTTCTCCACGGATACCATAGTCACATCTGCGGGGAATCACACGCAGAACGGCGAACGGAGTTTTCGGCGAACTGACAATCCCTAAAACGCCGCGCGGGGCCTTGTTGATCATGATCTCCTCGGCAGGAAGCTTGGAGTTGGGTTGCCAGGGGAACAGAAATTTGAATCAGGACTCTTGACACCGCTCACCAGTAAATAAGGCTCCCTATATTTCCCCTTAAACATCATTCCCACCAAGGGATACTCACCTTTCATGGGCAAAAAAGGTGATGTTTAAAACCACCGCGTTCCTTTCGAGACTACCTCCCGCGTGTGAAGGCAGCCTCAGTCCTTGTCACCCGTGCGCGCCGCACTTAATGCGGTCTTTGTGAACCCTCCTCCGAGTAGCCTGTGACTCGAGAAGATCATCCTCATGCCATGGTATCTCAACAACATGAGGACGTGAAACAATTTCAGGGATGGACCCTACGGTTGCAGGGCTATCTGCCCTTTGCCTAAGCAAGTGAACTATCTCTTCGTGGTAGGGGAACCACGGTCTACGTGGCAGCCCTGGTCGGCTTTGAAAGTACCCCAACTGGCGCAAGCTGGCAGGCTTTTTGCAAGGTTTACAAGGAAAGATATCTCTTCTCAAGATTTTGCTAAGCGCTTTGAGGCTACTATCGAAATATTGCATCCTACGGTGTGTATTCAGCTGAATAAGCATTGCAGCAGGACTCTGCTCGGGCAATGCAAATCTAGGGTTGTTATTAGTGCCTACATTTGCAGGCATGTCCGAATTGGTACAAAGCTGGAAGCTGATGAAAAGTTCAATCCAAGATACTCCTGGGTCGTCATTAGACTGGTCTTGCGCATCCCATCTGAGTAGAGAAACCCAGGCATGAAGTCGCTTCATGAAGGTTACCCCCCAAAAGGCTTCTTCCTCACATTCTTTGGTAAAAGGTGGTATCTCAAAGTTATGCCAATTTTCTTTTGGAAAGTTAGCAAGTTCATGAACATTTTGTTCACCAAGTGGTGGGGTATTTATTTCATCTTGCTCAGTTGCACATTGAGATGCGATAGTGCTCATCACCTCGTAGGCCCCGGAAAGCACGTCAGTGCATCGAGTAAGGTGGCAATGCAGCCTGTTCGCAAGTCCTTGGATATCTGTATTCAGGTGAATTCGTGCCTGCTGAGCTGCCTTGTCGGCAGCATCATTGCCTAGAGCAATCCATTTTTCGTTGAGCGTTTGGCACTCCCGGACATTTTGGTGAGACTTTACTTTATGCAAACTGCATCTTCCTTCTGTCAAATGCTTGACAGCTTTGCAGGCGTGTACTATTAGGTCAAAGTTTTTTGCTTTCCAGAACCGGGCTGGTTCTGGGCACTCAAGTACAGCACCAAAAATAGTTAGTGCGTATGCACTATCAGAATAGATGGTTTTGTTTTTGACGGCAATGAATGCATGTATTAAAGCACACAGCTCTGCTCTATTTATAGTTTGATCTCCTGCAACATTTGAAGTGACAAGGCACCTGAAGACAGCAGGGGTTTGCAAGTCAAGCAAATACTGCTTGATGATGATATCACGCGCGACATCGGTCTGGATGCAGTCAGCAATGACTGCATATCCTGCAAAGTTTTCGGCATGTGTCGCCCTCACAGTGCAGCTGCCGTCGGTGTATACCCTAAACTCGTCTTCACCATTTTCAATTCTAGTGAAAGCAGGCAAGGGCTTACTTCGGTTGATTTGATCAAGCTGAATTTCAATCTCATTAAAGGGCATAACAGGGTGGCAACGGTGGATACCACAGATTTCAAACCCCTGCATGACAGTTTTCAGCCTAGCTTCGTCAAGATTGTAGTTTCTACAGGTCCACAAGTGGTGCTCAAGTGTGTCAACCAAACCACACCTCTTACACTTGTCATTTTGTTCAAGGTACTTGGCCTTAACAATTTCAGTTTGCACACCTGTGGCAACTACAGGCGAAATAGACTTCCTGACCGGATGCGGAGTTTTTTTCCAGAGTTTTTGCTGTGCAACAACATCAGGACATGGGCAGTCCCAGTATTGTTTTTTCCCACGGACCTCCTCGTGCAGCACAATGTTCCATGCTTTGCGTAAATGCGGTCTCACGTCGATGAAACTGCAGTGCTCCACGTCAATTGAAATGCCAAGGTTAGTGTGGAGGGTTCCTTCCTGGCCTAGATGCCAACCAATTTTTTCCAGCCTCCTTCGAATTGTGGCACAAGGTCCATAAGATCGGTGGGATCCGTTTGCCGCAAGCATGCATTTCCACATATGCTGCCCTTGTTCCCGGTCCTTATGCCAAATCCCAAGGAAGGTCCTCATGGACCTTTCTAGTGCATAGAAGGCGGGGTCAACATTAAATTGAGATTGCATAGCACACACCAAGAATGGGTTGGGCCGCCCTCTGCATGGATAAATTGCTTCGGCAATGCGTGTTCGTAGTTTTTTGAAGTGCCTCTCACCTATGGAATTATTTTCGGAGGCATGCAGCGCTGCAGGCAGGATTGCCGATGCAACAATTTTTGCTTTGTCATCACTATTCAGTGGCAAACCTTGGATTTTCTTCAATTTTTTGTATGATGCATTTAACCGATCTGCAGTTTTGCCAAGTCCCTGATTCTTATTGTATCTCATTGTAGCTCCCAGGTCAGTTTCACTTTTCTTTAGGAGGAAAGTGTCCCCTACAAGGTTTTCTTCTTTTTGTAGGGTTTTCCAACCGTCTTTATTGTTTTTGTCCTTTGCCCAAGCCCAACACTTTGGTAGTGACATTTTTTGCCTCCAGATGCGACAAAATTCTTTTGTTTTCACATAGGAATTCCTGTTGACTTCAGGTGATGGAGATGTCCACTCCCAGTTATCCGCATACACATACGTGTTTGCTTCGGGTTCCCAAATGAATTTGGTCCACAGGAAAGAAATGGAGAGCATGGCAAGGACACTGATAGGACACCCTTCTGGCGCCCCAGTTGTGCTTTGTCCAGCGTAAGTAGCCGTGCCATTTACGATCAGCACACGCTGGCATGCTTGTAAGGCCGAAATCCACTTTTGGGTAAGCCTACGGTCTACCCCCATTTTTTCCATAAGAAGTGCGGTTGGCTGCCGTGGTATTCCATTAAATGCCTTAGCCAAGTCTAAGACAAAACCGCCAAGGGGTTTATCAAAGAGTATGCTATCTTCAACCTGGGTTTGAATAGCAAACCAAACATCGTCTGTTTTTCTTCTTGGGAGCCCTCCCACGATTCCTCCTGGCAGGGTATCTGCCCATGCTTTATAAATGAGGCAGGAGTGAGCCTTAGCCCAAGTTCTATAAATCAAGCTGAAAATTGTGATAGGTCGGGTGGACTCGGGCCCACCCACAATGTCAATTTTGTTCAAGAGTACAACCTTAGCAGTGACGAGAGGCTCAGGCCACTCGCCCGGCTCGATGTCTTCCACAATTTTGATTAGGTCAAGCAAAGCCTCATCGGGCAAATCGGAAAGTTCGGGCTGCGTGAATCCACAACCCCCAACAGCGGTAGAAGTTTTTGTGGATTCAATTGCTTGTCTCCACGCTTGCAGCATGTCCGGGGGCTGTTCAATACGCTCCATGGCTGGTGCAAATTTCTCAATCATGTTTGCACATTCAGGCCACTTATGCATTGATTCGCCTTCTTCGTGACTATCTCTTTGCCAAAATTTGTTCCAATAGGCAGAGATCTCTTCCCCTGCGCGTTTGGCGTCTGTGATCCACTGCTTTGTGCGGACTACACATGTTTTTCCCTCAGGAATTTTGCCTTTAACTGTGACATACCTCCCGTCGACTCGATCGACAATGCCGGTATTATCGTCACATGTAATTTTCTGGCCGCTATAGCACTTATGACCTTCATCTACACGTATCCGAAAGGTGCCATTTTTTCCCCATTGGCGGGTGACTTTTGCAGTGCTATGTTGTTCACACTCAAGCTGATCGACTGGCGGCCTGCCAGGATCCCGAATCATTGCATATGCAATTTTACCGCCTTTATGCATAAGGTCGCTATGCAACTTAGCTTGAAATTCGGCACCCTTGGCACGCATGGCTTTTGCATGAAATGCATCGCAGTCAGCTTTCACTTCGGCATACAAGAGTGCAAGGTAGGGAGCATCAGGCACCTCGATTGGGCAAAGCCCCAGCGTGCCATTACCCGCGCACCATGAGGGGAAGTCCGGCTGGTATCCCTTAGCTCTGAAAATTGCATTCCATTCCTGCTGGGCTTGATGCACATGCCTATTATGAGAAGAACCTGAAGCAATGATGTCAACAAGGTGTCGCAGATAGAAAATCCTTCTGACTTGTCGAACCTTGAGCGTTGCAACATGATTAAGGACATCACAAGGGGGGTTGTATCCTTGGCCATTTTCGGGTGGGATGATGTTCGGCTTGTGCACCGATTTGACAACATGTCTCTGGCATCTTCCCCTAAAAGCCAGTGGCAGCGAGGCATGTTTGCATTCCTCGGGGTGCTTTTGCTTAGCATCCAGGTATGCCAGCGACACTGCGTTTTCAACGCACTCAGCCCATGCTTTCAGTCTATTTTGCGGGCTTGCCCTAGTGTTTTTTCCTCTATAGTGTCTTTTAATATCTTCTTTGTCAATCGGGAATGCCTTCCAAGTTTTGGGGATGCACCACTGGCTGGTCAAGGTGTTCACAGGAGGAACATGAAAGACCGCTGTAAATGGGACATGTGCGTCAAAGTGGAACTCCTGCTTGACGTATCCATGATCATAGTGTTGTAGGAGTGGTCCCCTGAGCAAACATGTGTCGTTATAGGTCTTGTTCTTACAAGTGGGTTGACAAAGGTCAGCATTGCAATCCCTCGCAACCATGAGAAGGTCAACGAATCCTAAATCAATGAGTTTGCTTCCACAAGGGCCCTGGATGGGTTCGTGGTTGAAGTCGCCCACGATGGCAACCGATGCATTTACCCGTGCAGTTCTTTCGATAGCCCAACTAACCAAGATATTATTCATTTCCATATGGTTAGGTGTAGTATCGGGCACTCCATAGATGGCAACCACCAGGAGGTCCATGGCACCAACCTTTGTCCAAGTCTCCATGTATCTCCCAGTTTTCAACATTTCATGCGGAA